GGGATTTTTCTAGTCGGATTCCAATGCAATTCCGTTTCCAGGAATCCGATCGGATTTTGTCGGATGGTCGGATCCGGTAAGATCCGATCGGATCCAGCATCGGATTTGTTGACCTGGGAACCTGGGAGGGTAATGGAGTCACCACTGACGAGCGTTATTTATATTATTGAGTTGAGCTACTTACAATAAGCAGTATGATCGTCATTATTCATGGTTTTTAATGCAAATCTGTTTTATGTTAAGAAATTAGTATAAACATCTTTCTAACCGTAAAGTCCATTTCGTTAGTATATCTATAAAGACAAGTACGAGTAAGAATCTTTCTTTTCCTAATATTAACAAACAAGAGGAGAGAGAACATCGCTTTATTATCCTGTACAGTATTCGTATAGATTAAGATGGTTTCTCTTGCAAATGTAGTTTTGTCTGTTCTACGATGTGATGTTTATTTGAATACCATACTCTTAAATGCATTGCAAAAACATGAATAATGAGTGTCACATATAATTGTTTCGTTTCTCTTTCTTATATTATATAGAAGAAAGAATGTCGAGGATTGAAAACATTATCGAGACGTTTTTAAATAATAAATCTGGGAAGCTGAGAACTTTTTTCAACGATTTCTTCGATTTTCTTGATTATTTTCGAAAAACCTTCGTAGAGACTTCTCAGAACTATTTTCAAAATTTTCCACAAAATTTTTTCTCTCGCACTGTCACAAAGACCGCTGCTATGGATTTAAAAATTTTATTGCCTCACCTTGAAAATGGAGCTTGCGCAGCACATGTTCTTTCCAAGTCCACCGGTCTTATACAAAATTAACAAGATTCACTGTGTTAATTGACATCTTTTCACACTGCTTTGATTCAAAACTATGATAAAATTTTCATATCATAGTAAAAAGTCTTTATTACTTGATAAATAAATAACAACATTTTTACAAAACAATATTAAACGGATTATTTGAAAATTAAATGAAAATTGGGGTGTTTCATACAGTAAATACTCATCTGAGGATCAGAATACTTTTCATTTCTTGTCGAAAAGTTTTCGATACAATTAGATTGGTGTAACATCCAATATATAATGGAATTGGCGAACATGTGAGGGCAAGAATAAAAATAAATCCTCCTATTTGAGATTGTAAAATAGTCTGTGGTTGATTTTGACCAATTTGTTGATAAATAACAATAACAGATTGTATAAAATTGAATACAATATAGACGGTTATATCCATCAATAAAATTTTAATAAGTTGTTGATCTTTTGATCGAACAATACGAGAATTTCCATTTGCTGTTGTTGTTGTACTGTGTATCAACGGAGTCGGAGTAGTTTTGTTTACTTTTCGAATATTTCTCACTGTATATAAACCAAAAGTGATCATCAAACAAGGGATGAGAAGCACTTTAACAACCAGTGGATAATAACTCATCACTAATAAATATGAAGCAGGCTGAAAAAAGCAAGCAGAAAAGCCTGGAGCAAATGATACAAGATTCATGAAAATAAATGAATGACAATGAACTAT